TGTGACACCCTTACTACCCCAACACATATATTGTAATAATAAAAACTTACAAATAAATTTTTCAATTTCGATAAAAGGGTTCACATGAGAATCTTCAAAATTATCCTTCAATAACCACAATAATAAAAATGAAACGCAAGAGTTTATAAATTATTTTCAAAAATAACATTTACAATTCCAAATCCAAATAAAAACATATGTTCTAAAAATCCTCTGCCCCGATGTCACAATATCAGAGCATCCCCACAATTCAACTGTTGGCATACTAGATGCCACTCAAAGCAGGATCTCCCTCACCTAAAACATCCACAATTTTAACGGTGAGAAAAGAAAACATCCATATGTAAAGCACATACACAACAATGTAATCTCAAGATATATTTTTGTTTTATTAAATTATTAGTGTATTTTAAAAATTTTATATATTATATTCCTAATTTTATATATCAAATTCACATATGATTATTTTTTATATTTATGTTTTATTTTATATATATATATCGTTAATTTTTATTTTTATTTTTAAATTGTTTCACTAATCTAAAGTCTTGGATTCACTATTAATTAAAAGGAATACATAATCAACATTATTATTGTTAATTCACTTTTAACATGATATGAGAGCTAATTTTAATAATTTATTAGGCTTATTAAGTTGATACGAGACTAATTATCTACGAATGTTTAATTTTATAAAGTTCATGTTTTAAATGTTTAGTTTTTGATGTGAAAAGATTTTGAAATTTTTACATAAACTAATAAAATATACATAATAATATATGAGTTAATCACTTATATACTGGTAGTGTAAAGTTTTTTTACATTAGTAACTAATTATATCTTTTAATTGTATCATGTCACTATAAATACATTTATTTTTAACAGTAATATGACACAATTAAAAGATATAATTGATTGGAAGTGTAAAAAAATTTTACACTGACAGTGTATAGGTGATTAACTCATAATATATATGAGTAGATAACAACTCTTATTTCATAAGTAAATTTGGAAGATTGAATTAGATATAAAATTAATTTTTAATAATCTTTATTGTTTGTTGGTGGAGGCATGGCTTTGCAGACCATAATCCTTGTAGTCGTCACTTCAATAACCAATTGGAAAAAAGAGGTAGGAGTTTTTCATATTTAGTACTCTCGCATGTACCAATTGAGTTAGGGTGATAAGAAATAAGAATTAGCATTTTTCTTTTTGTTTACAAATAAGTAAGCTATTATTTGTTAATTTATTTTGTTGCCGATGGAATTCACAGGCTGAACAAGCAGAGAGTCGCGTGAAAAAGTGGGGAGGATCAATTGCGAGCAATGACTACAACTAAGATCGAATGAACATGAAAGGCTGAAAACCTATTTATTAAATAATCTTCCACATGAATTCTTACCAAGGTTTAATATGTTTTTATTTGTTTTACTCTTGTTTTAATAACTATGCTTTGGGGGATGGGTAGAGTAAATCAAGTATTAAGGTTTCTTTCCGAGATGGAGTGAATTTACAAGAAAGACAAGCCTTGCTCTTGCAAGGGTTAAGGCATATTTATTTAGTTATAATTAGTTTAGGATTTAATCTAAGAGAGTAATCATTTACTAAAGATAAAATGGAAAATTGAGGGGCTAGTTTACTTTAAACATATTTTAATTTCAAAAAATGAATCCACCATTTCTTTAATACAATTGAAAGCAAAAAAGAAATTATTATGTATTTTCATCTTATGATGGCTTGATAAAAAAAATAGAGAAAATAGGTTATGAATTGAAAATATGAGATAATTTTACGATGTTATCTAATTAGAAATTATTATGTATGGTAAGTTTGTTGATTTTTACAATAAATAACTAAAAATACATATTAACACTAGTTCAAGTGGTATTAAACCTGATTTTCTTAAGTAAGATCTCGAATTTGAGTCTTATGTATAAAAAAAATTATTGGAGGGGAGACCCATCAAAGGTGGACCAACCAAATTCTCCAACAAAAATTAACCATTGTTGAAGTTGTTAAATACTTCATGCCAATAATTTTACACAATCATTCAATCACAAATCACTATGTATAATGAATTTGTTAACTTTTATGATAAATAAGTTTAAAAAAAAAATCATACCTATAGTTAATTGTAATTAATTGATAATGTAAAAATACTTTACACTTTTGATATATGATCATTAAACTCATTTGTTAATTAGTTTTAAGGTCTATATGTCTTTTGTTGATCGTCAAGTGAGGTAATATCAATTATGTTAAGTTATGTTTAGACAAACATAAAACACTTATATAATAAGAAAGTAAAATAAAATTGTTTTTTTAAATAGATAACAAAAATTGCATACACATAATTTTAGGCCTCAGATTATCACTCTTCGAACAAGCATGAAGGCTGGCCTCTTGTGGATGAAGGCAAAGGCCTCTCGTTGGATATCAACTGATCACAAACCACTCCATCATGAAGATAAATAATTGAGTAAATACCTAATTTGAGTTCTTAAATTTTAACTCTGTTATACTTAATTATTATACCCTCATGGGATTTTATCTGACCTAGCAATTATCTATAAAGAGTGGAATATGGTGGTTGTAATAAACGATATGTGAATGAAATTATTTTTTAAAATCATTACAAGATAGGTGGCTAAAAAAGGGGATAAAAAAATAAGAAATAATGGTTACAATAATTACTTTAGGACATAAAGCAACAACAAATACAATGAAGGATGGGAGAATTAAGTGCTTCAGTGATGACTATATTTTTTATCGGAACATTTTGACCCTCATCATAGAACTCTAATAAAACTTTTTCGACGGCCATACTCTTAAGAGATCGACTTTGTGGTTAATGAGCATTTGAATCCATCATAAATTCATGTATTGGGTTCGCATTCATGTCACCATCACCCTGTCTTTCATGACATTATCATCTTAAGCATTCAAAAGAGTTTCCTCAAATATACTGTTAGACATTACATACCTGCAATTTTCCTTCCTCTCATAACTACATTCCCCTCTCAAACGATAAAATTATAATTGATCTTAGTACAATTAGAGAGTCGTCCTGAGATTGCGAACAACTCAGCTTATAACTGACTCTAGTACGATTAAAGAGTCATGTTGAGGTAGCAAATGACTCAGATTATAACTGATCTTAGTACAATCAAAGAGTCATGTTGAGGTTGTGATCGATTCAGATTATAATCAACCCTAATACAACCAGGAAGTCATGTTGTGGTTGTGAACAACTCAGATTATAATCAATCCAATTACGATCAAAGAGTCATATTGAGGTTGCAAACGACTTGAATTATAATTGGCCCTAGTACGATCAAAAAGTTATGTTGAAGTTGTGAATGAGATGATAATCAACCTCAGTACGATTAAAGAGTTGTATTGAGGTTATGATAAACTAGGATTATAATCGACCCTAAAACGATTAAGAATTATGTTAAGGTTGCGAATGACTCAGTTTTAAAAATTATACTTTATGATTTTATGAAATTATTCTACTAGTTCGAATTGATATTGACCTTTATATGATGCTTGGTTTTAGCTAATTATCTTCCTCATATTAAAAATATCTTGATCATTGTTTTTCAATGCAACAAATGATTCAAATTTTGGAAAAAATTGTTAAAAGTTTTAAATAATAAGTCTTATAAAATAAAGTGTTAGGCAAATCTTAAGATGGAAAGTTAAAATGTTGATATAAAAAATCGACATGTAATTAACAATTAATTGAAAGATGTAAAATAGATCGATTAATATTTATTCAAATCCTGCTTTCATTAAACTCTAGGCTGAATGGATTGTGTATTGGCCTTTTAGGTCTATGACTAACTTATATATAAACAATATTTTGTGAGATATAAACCCTAAAAGTCTTAAACCTAAATATAAAAGATAAAAATCACTTGAATGCGCTAGTATTAATTCTCACTATTTTATGAGAACAATTATATTGGTTTGTGTATGACATTAACTTCATATTTTATTATGAAAAATTTAATTTTATTTAGTCTCTTTGTCTTGAAAAGACTCGAGACTAAGGGATTGTGTATGGTGATTATAATTAAAGATATGTGAATTAAATTCTTTTTTAAAATCATGGCAAGATAAGTGGCTAAAAAAAGGATAAAGAATAAGAAATAATGGTTACAATAATTTCTTTGACATATAAAATAACAACAAATATAATGAAGGAGGGGAGACTTAAGTTTTTCAGTGATGACTATACTTTTTTACTAGAATAGTTATTGAGCATGAAGAAAATTGAAAACTCTAACACTTAAAGATCAATCAATAGCATAGGAGGACTCATTCAAATTCTTGCTCAACTAGCCAATTAGGCTGATGAATGAGAATTGAAGGGTGCAAAACACTAAGTCACAGATCAATCATTTAGCTTAGCAACCCTTTTATTATAAAAATTAAAGCACTACTATCTTGGATGAACTCGCTTTGCAAAAGAGTATGGTCCTCGACCCCATTGTCCCTTTTATTAGGTTTCATTTGCATTCAATCCATAACAAAAATTGCCAACAAATAATTTGGATTATGATTGAAGCTCTCTCGCATTTCATATGAGAGATGAGTTTATTAACAATTTGTTCAATGCAAAACACCATAATCAATCCTTGACTTATTTTTGAAGTATGTACCCAATTAGTGTTCCACCAATTCATCTAGAAGAGCTAGATAGCTCTTCTACATTATACAACACTAATTATTCAAATTATCAATGGTTGTCTCCCTTTTCAATCAATTTAAATTCACAAGAGGATGCAACAATAACAACAATTTATGAATAACAAAATCAAACCCAACAACATAAACAACCATGTCGAATTCTAAGATGTAACAAACAACATTTATCGTGTAGAATTAAACACAATTATGACGACTAATCATTTTTATTAACATATAATTTTAATAAAATAAATTTTATCATCATTTCTTATTTTAATTAACATTAATTGATTATAAATAATTAAATTAATAATGAGACTGAATATTAAAAAGTTATCTAATTAATTATCATTTATTTAACTATTACCACAATTTTTATTAAAGTAATCAAATCAATTTTAAAAAAGTATTTTTACCCAGATAAATCTTAATATTATTTAAAATATTATCCTTAAATTAATTAATTAAATTAATATTTTTAAAAAAATATCTAGTAATTAATTTAAAATATTATCCTTAAAATAATAATTTTATAAACTAATTATTTAGTTTTCCTTCATATTTTAAATTAATTTAATTAATTTTAAGAAAAATTAATTTTATAAATTAGAATTAAAAAAAAAATCAAAACATTAAGAAAATCGGAAGATCAATCTCAATTTCTAAGCAACTTTTTTTGTGAAAGAAAATTTTCCCCTTTGAATAATAGGAATTGGGACACCTAAATACTTATAAATATAATAAAATTTACTACTTTAATAAATATTTTACGATTTGCATTATTGTTGTATATATTTATTTATTAATTATTACCATCAAGGCAAATTCAATGTGTTATTCTTTATATTTCTTTTGTTAAAAAGAAACTCTCCTACAAATCATTATCCTCTATCTCTGGCTACACCCTTCTGTACACTATCCAGTCACCCGAGCTTGGATGTGCTAAGGCAGTGGAAGACAATGGCGGTTTCCCTATCAGCTCTCACAACCTCCCTCTCTTCGCTCTCTTTCTCTTCCAACGTTTCTCAGAGACCTAACACCCTCTCCTTCGCCAGAACCCAATCCTTCTCCCTCTCCCGCTTCGCCAAAGCCCCCTCCCTCCTCGTCTCCGCCACCGCGCTCGCCGAACCGGAAACCGCCGACCTCAGGAAATACGTCAAGTCGCGGCTCCCCGGCGGGTTCGCCGCTCAAACGATCATCGGCACCGGTCGCCGTAAGAGCGCCATCGCTCGCGTTGTTCTTCAGGAAGGAACCGGCAAATTCATCATCAATTACCGCGACGCTAAGGTTTTCAACTCTAACCCTACGTTTATTGGTTTCAGTGATTTTCTTTTTGATTATTCCGAAATGAGAATGATATTTTAAGTGTGTTACGGTTTAGTTACTTAAGTTGAGTTGTTCAGTTTATTAAGTTGGGTCCTTTTTGGCAAACATAAAGGTAAAATGAATTGAGCTGAGGTGTATCAAGTGTCTGTGTGGATAATAAACTTCTATATAAGTACTTCTAGGAAAACAGTTATGAAGAAAAATCAAAATAAGTTTTTCTGTATGTTAAAACTAGTTAATGTAAAAGTTAAAATAATATTTTGAAGAAATTAATATGAAAGCTTCTACAAATTAACTTATGTATAAGCTAATTAGTTTATAGAGAAGTTGATTTTATTTTTTCCTTCCTAATTTTCTTTGTTTTCAGAGAATTTATCTAAACAAACCCTAAGTTGATCTTATATTATGAGAAAAATTCAGTTCATTTTATCTTCTTATTTTGTTTTCTTATGAATGTTTATGGATAAATTTATCCAAACGCCAGCCTTAATGTTATTTGTCATGGATTATATTAGTTGCTCAATCAGTAGTGTCTTTAATTACGAGTTTGAGCTGCTGATATATGTATGTATTTTGCCACATTGAAATTCAATTGGTTTAGAACCTATTTAGATATAAGTTTAGAAGAGTTTTTGAAAACCTATTTGGATGTAAGTTTAGAAGAGTTCTTGAAAATGTTTCTCTATTGGAAAAAGTTCTTTATTTTTAATAGAGAAGCACTCAAAACTTTTCTAAGCTTGTATTCAAACAAGCTCTTAGAATTATCTGATTCATAAACTCTCTAGACTCTGATATGGTTTTGGAAGTTCTTTAGCTTCCTGTCATCTCTGTTCTTGCTCATCAATGGTTTGCTGTTCTGCCATTGATGACTCTTCCACTTCATTCTTTCTTTGCCCTTCAGATAACCCAGGTCTGAATTTGGTGTCTCAGCCTCTCACCCGTGACAATTGCGTCATGTTACTCTGTGCCATGAAAATGACCTCATTCAACTAAGCATGTCGTTTTGTGGATGGCCTGGTCTATAGAGCAGATGGTTCTGGTGCCCCACTGCTTCTGGAATGGTGGAGTAACTAAAGTATCATTTCCTTTTTGCTCCTCAATTCTGTCTCCAAGGAAATTAGTGCAACTGTGTGCCCTGAAGTGCATTTTCAGCAACATAATGATAGGATGATTTTCACTTTCCTTTTATTTTCCACCACCTCTACCAAGCATCCCTTGAAGTGTATGATTTGATTTGATGGCTCAAACTCAAACTTGATTTAATTTGAACATGTTCCTGCTTTTGGATATTGTTGCTCAAGTTCTTTATTTTTCTTTATGGAAGAATAATTAGTATTGTATGTCATATTGTATGTGTCTGTTAGGAACCAAGAATTAGGAAAGAGAAAGAAAAGAAAGATTTTATTGAATATGTCCAAAGGAACACAAAATAGGAGAAATATCTCCTCCAAGGGTTTTACAAAAGATTTCTCCTTTCACAAAGAGCTAATGCTCAATTTACAAATTTGAACAAATCTGAATCTTCCCTCTACCAAGTAACCTCCTATTTATAGATGTGATGGGCCTAGCCCATGATATCTTTCTAACTAATAACTATTCTAATTCCATTTATTCTATCCTAACAGTGTGCATGTCTTTTACTGTTTTATTTCAAATGAAATTTGTATTTTCATATTATGAATGGATTGCTATTACTAGTTTGTGTGATTGAAGTTTCTTGGTAGATTGTTCTTTCTTTTTCACTATTCCTAATCACATGAAGAAATTTCTCATATTGTCATCTTGGATTTAGGATTTAATGAGAAACATGCTTGAATTGGAATCAGATAATGTTCAAGTTATTTGTAACCTATGGACAACCTTTTTACGTTCTTGACTTTGTTTTTTAGGACTTATCATTTTGTTAATGGATTTTTACGCCTTATATCTCACCCTCTATATGTGTGGGTGGTTGATAAGTGTTGTCTCCATTTAATCTTATTTTGCCTGATTTATTTTAATGTTGTACAGGAATATCTTCAAGGAAATCCATTGTGGCTTCAATACATTAAGGTCCCCTTAGTAACTTTGGGATATGAAAGTAATTATGATGTTTTTGTCAAAGCTGAGGGTGGTGGCCTGTCTGGTCAGGCTCAGGCAATCTCTCTTGGCATTGCTCGTGCCTTGCTGAAGGTGAGCGAAGATCATAGATCACCTTTAAGACAGGAAGGACTTCTTACCAGAGATTCCAGAGTGGTTGAAAGGAAGAAAGTTGGTCTGAAGAAAGCACGTAAAGCCCCTCAATATTCCAAACGTTGAGGTTGGAATTTTACATGTAGGGTGGTGTTTCTGGAATTGGTTACATTTGGAACTATTGATTGTTCTAATTTGTAGTTAACTCGTTAGGAAAAGTAAAGAGAAATTGAAAATATCCTAAGGCATATGTATTCAGAATCCTACCCTCTGTTTTCCTATCTCTTGTTTCTTTGATCTTTATGGAATTGGGAATTGTATTTGTAGGTATGATAAGATTTCTCTCTCCCAACCAAAGTCACATGTCTTACTATATTGCAGGTTTCTTTCAAGACTTGAATTTTGTGGTCTTTACTCTTTACCCTTCATTTCTTGAATTTTATGGTCTTTACTCTTTACCCTTCATTTCTTATACCCGTTTGTTCCTTCATTTGGCATATTGAAATATTTGAAGCATTGACATTTGAAATTTCTCTCTTTCCCAATTTGACCGGTTGTTCCTTTAGACATTATGAGGTGCATAAGTCCCATTGTCAAGATGTATGTCGGTTGAATACTTAAGTGACTTGGTTCTTCTCCTTGACAACTAACTCTTAAAATTTTTAATAGAGGATTCCCGAAGTGGTAGATGTTTATGACTACACAATACAGATAAAGAACCGGAAAGACAATGAATTTAAGCATATTTTTTTTTAGGGTCAAATTCTAATTTTGAATAAGCTTCAAATTCATCATCTTGAAATGTTAGTTTCCGAGAGAAAAAAAATCATGTTCGTGGCATCAATGAATACTAGCCAAGTTGGTTCTTTAAAAGAAAACGCTACTCGACAGGAGAAGCATGGCCTTGTAAACTTTTTTTATTTTAACCCTAACTTATTAGATTTTGTATGTTTTAAAGTTAAATAGAATTAGTTATGATTGAATTGATTCTGAATTATTGAATCTAATTTTAATTTGTGCCTAAATTAATTTCAGTCATTGATTTTGGATGGTAGCGAAACAATTATACAACAAGAGGGTAAATTTGCAAAGTAAAAAAGTTAGAGGGTATCTATTATAAATTATTAATTTGATTAAAAGTAATTTTTAATCTTAATTAACTTTAATAATGATAAATTATACATTAAACGTTTATTTATTAAAAAGAGTCAAATATTTTAATAATAAATAAACCTGAAGTAGGTGACAGGCCATGAAAAATAAAACCTAAATAAATATAAGGATCTAAATCTAAAAAAATAAAAAATAGATAAAAACTGAAATTTTAATTTATAACATCAGTGTTAATATTAAAGCAAACCATTGGGATTAAAGATGATTTTTTTCCTAAATAACTTTTGAATTCATCAAGGATCATTTTTTGTTAACTTATTTACACATTTTGCCTAGAAAATATTATAATTTTGATTTCGTGTCCAATTTCTTTTGACACGATTTTCTTCTCAAATTATATAGTATTGTTAAGTTTATCTCTACGTAAAAAATTGTCCCAGTTAAGACAATTTTGTAGATTTTTTTTTAAGTCTTCATAACTAAAACATTAACATTTATTTGAAAAATTTTCCCTCAAACTTCCATATTTTAGTCTTATTATTCCTTGTCAAAAATCCTAATATCATATTAGGGAATAATTTAAAAAAAAACATTAATAAAACAGAAAGGTTAAAATACTTTTTTAAATTTTATAATTTTTTTATAATTAAAAATGTACTTTTTAATATTTATATTCATTTTTCTTAATAATTTTTAATTTTATAATTTAAATAATATTATTAAAAAAAATTAACAATGGAAAAAAAAAAATATAGTGCGGCAATAGAAAGTTGTTTTTATAAGGTCTGGTTTTAGAGGTTTTTTCTCTTTTTTTTCCCCCAATTTTAGTTCGCATCCGCGAGGTTCCAATAGAAAGGCACCTTGGAACGACCCCTGATAACTAAAACGCGGTGATTAACCAACGAATTTAACCCGCAGCGAGCAAAAGCATATGAAAGTAAACAAATCACGGGCAGTTGTTCTTAGGTCGTTAAATTCCCGTCTGCATTTCGAGTTCGACACTCAGTGATAACTGATAACCCCATTTGCTGTTCCAATCCCCTCTTCGTCCCATCGCGTGGCGCCACAATGTTCCACAACAACAACATCAACAACAGCATATCGATCCCCGTCTCGGACGACGAATCCGACGAGCTGGGTCGGATGCGGATCCGCGCGCGGCGCAAGCGCAAGAAACTCGGCAACAGACGCTTGCTCAGGAAGCTACTCCTCCGATACTGGATGCTACTCATCATTATTCCCGCCACGGCTTTGCTCCTATTCGAGACCACCAGAATTGCCCGAAAGCCTAGCTTAGACACCAACGCCGACGCACAAACACACTCTATTCACGTTCGTAGATCTACTCCCGCATTGCGGAAGGAACCCCCCGCCAACTTGAATCGCCTCGATCCTACCACCCATGTTGTGGGTGGTGTCAGAGAGCGTAAGTTCCCTTCTATTTCAATGTGACTAATGATTATTAATGTACTGCTAGGATCTCCACGACCACGTGTGTAAATATAGTCAAATTTGCCTCACAAAGTGGTTAAAAAAGTAATTGGGTACAATTGTGGGCACATAATGTCATGAAGTTATTGAAATGTCATGAGGAAATGAATGTGTATACTATTATCAATATGGCACTCATGGTTAGATATCTCATAAGTAGTTACTGAAATGCCTAGTGGTGGTTAACTTTGCTTAATATTTAGGCTCATTTCAGATAAATTTTTCATAGAAGCAATTCTAAGGAAAAAAAATAGAAAGAAAAATCTAAATAAGTTTATCCATAAGGTAAAACTTATAGAAAAGTTTATTTCATTTTTTTCTTCTTATTTTTCTTTTCTAGAAGTGCTTATGGAAAAGTTTGCTCAAACATATACTTAGTTAGAGTAAAGAAAGGTGTGTATATTGTGGTGCTAATGGTAAATACGCCTTGTAATAAGTTGATAGTGTCTTGGATTATTGAAATGTCTAGTGGTAGTTAACTGTGCCTTAAAAGGGGTTAATTGCCTGTTGGATGCTGGGTGGGCAATTCTCTGTGGGACGATTATCATTTTTCATTTCAAGATGTATAGGATAGAATGTTCAATATGACGTGTGATTTAATCCCTATCAGGTTGCTTGAAGCTCCTACCACATGAAAAGCTTGAGCATCTGGATATTCCTGCGGAAGAAGAATCTTTTAGTTTTCCTGTTGGTGAAGTTTTATACATGTCAGAAAGTGATGAGTCTTTTGTAGGAGGGAATGTTACGCTGTCTCAATTGCGTACAGAGGACACAAGGTTTAATTTATTTACCGGTAATCAAACATTTGAACAGAGAGATAAAAGTTTTGAGGTAATGAGCTGGGTTTGATTCAAATTTTACCTACTTGCTTTCACTGCTTGGCTGTTTGTTATATGTATACCTTTCCCTCCCCTTTGTTTCTTCGTGCAGGCAAAGGAAACTATGATGGTACATTGCGGATTCTACAGTGTGAATGGAGGGTTTAAGATATCTGATGAAGATAAAAGTTTTATGCAAAGTTGCAAAGTTGTGGTATCTACTTGTGCATTTGGTGGCGGGGATGATCTCTATCAACCAATCGGAATGTCTAAGGCTTCGCTTAAGAAGGTTATTTAAGCAGTATAAGAGTTGGTTATTGATGTATCTTAGAAGTCGCTGATCTTATTTGCCAAATCTATTTAGTGGTATGCAGGTTTGCTATGTAGCATTCTGGGATGAAATCACGGTAAAAGCACAGGAGTTGGTGGAACGAAGAATTGGGGAAAATGGATTTATTGGAAAATGGCGTGTTGTTGTCGTTCAGGATCTTCCTTTTGCCGATCAAAGGTTGAATGGTAAAATTCCCAAGGTATTAAATCTTTGAAGTCTTACGTCTTCTTTTTGTATGCCATTTGCTATGTCTTGATAGTGTTGCTGGTGCATAATTAAAGTGTGGCTGCACCCAGTTCTGTGTCCTACCGATTTCTTCTCTGAAGATTCTTAACTTTTTCATATACTGCTATGTAAATGCATGTACAGAATTGTTGTTGTCCTTCATTATCTCTCTTTTTAATCTACATCAGATCCATCAATTGTGCGCATTGCCATATGCTTTATTTGTCAAGGATAAAATAAGATATATGCGTGGAATGCTCTGTTATTCTCTACTTGTTTTTGTTGGGGTATTATCATCTGATTAAACTTTCCTTTTTTTGTTCCTTTTTTTCAACCATGTGTGCACTTGGATATCTTTCAGATGTTAAGCCATCGCCTTTTCCCTCAAGCAAAATACTCTATTTGGGTAGACTCCAAGTCCCAATTCCGGAGAGACCCACTAGGCGTGTTGGAAGCACTCCTTTGGCGCACAAATACTATACTAGCCTTATCAGAACATGGAGCTCGCAGTAGTGTCTATGATGAGGCTAAGGCTGTTGTCAAGAAGAACAAAGCCAAGCCAGAGGAAGTTGAAGTGCAACTGAATCAATACAGAAAAGATGGCTTGCCTGAAGACAAGAGATTTAATGGAAAAAAAGGTATGCACAGATTTAATTAGCTAAAAGTAATTTTAACATTTTTCTTATTTTCTTCATAAAACAAAATCCATGTTCTATTTCATTTGAGATTTTGCCGTATGTCAATTTGTCAATAGATGTGAATCCTCTCATTGACTCTTACCAAATTTTGACTTATATTGGATTGTATTCCCACCTCTGCACCAATATTTTGTAAAATGTTCGATCAAACTTGTGCTGTGCAGCTCTATGTGAAGCCTCTGTCATCGTGAGGAAGCATACACCACTAACTAATCTATTGATGTGCGTCTGGTTTAATGAGGTGGTTCGCTTCACTTCTAGGGATCAGCTCAGCTTCCCATACGTCCTGTGGCGGCTGAAGGCATTCAAAAACATTAATACATTCCCTGTTTGTACTCGCAAGGATCTTGTCAATAGTATGGGCCATATCCGGAAGGCCAAACCTTTGCAAAGCTGATTTAATTAACTTGGTTGAGAGCAATGCCTACCTGCATTTATCTAACTCATCTCATATTTCATTAGTTTCTCTAGCCAATCTGAATCAGGTATATGTATTGTTTTTCTAACCTCACGCGCCCTTCTTCTCTCATAGCAAGTGAATGGTTATAAGTTATATTTACTATTTACTGTGAGATTTTTGATTAGGTTGTTTTATAAAATATCTAGTTGACAGAGGAAAATCAAACAAACAAGAGATCGCTGTGCCCATTATATTTAGTGAAAATAAATAAATGCAGCCATACATAGCTGTTGGAATACATCTCTCCTGTCAGACATGTAGCAATTCCTCCAGTGGTAGCTAATGATGGCAAGGCAAGGAAAATCATCGTGTCAGACATACGATGAAACAGTTAACCAGAGCAAAACTTCAAAGCACTGGTGCAAAAGATGCGTTGTCAGCTTGGTGATGCATTGTTGCAAAACCAGTGGATAAAAGCATAGAAAGAAGCCATTGAAAATCCTGAGATAGTGAAGTTACATAAAGAGAGGGAACCATTTTAAGGTTGGGTAGTTTCTGAGGAAATGGCTTGGATCAAGTTGTTCCTGGATGTCAATTTAATTGGTCATTTGGTTTTAGTTTCAAGGCCTTTTAAACGATAATTGGAATAATAAGCCAGACAAGAGCTGAAAGAAAAGGAAAAAGCTGCATTACGCGTAATGAAAGGTGCCCTTCTAAGATTTAGTAGTTTTTGCAGAACTAATTGTTTAGGGATTAGTTGTGCCTAGATGTCTATTTTTTGTGGTTTTCAGTTACCAAAGCTTTTAGAGCTTTTTATGCTTAATGGAAGTCCTTTATTTTAATTTTTTTTTCCCCAAGTTACCGAACCCGTAAATTAGTCTCAAAAGACAGGATTCATGATCCAAAGGAAGGCAGCAAGACCTTCGAGGGGATGAACTTCGGATGCTTTCAATTAAACTTGATGAAAAGGTCATTCATGAAGCATTGAATATGGCATGGGTCCTTTTTAAGAAAGAAAATATGATTTTGTCGTCTACTGGAACATTTTGCACATTGGTTTAGGAAGAGAATGAACTATAGGTTTTTGCAAGATTTCCTTTGTTTTTTCAACTAAATCCTCCTCTCTCAACACTAAAGGTACAGGTTATCATGATTTCCCTATTCCGTATTCTGAAGAAAGGATATAGTAGTATCTTGGGGCAAAATAATTCACAATCCTGCCTCAAATGTTTGAGATTAGGTATCAAAATTAGTCTTTCTAAGAAATAAATAGACTAAAGCATTACCCCTCTTTTTTTTTTGGTAAATTAACTTCTTCAAAGTTTACACTACACTGTTATTTATAAAAGTTACATTCCCCTTGAAGGATGACGTGTTCCAATTTAGTATGCCCTATTAGCGATAGAGAAATCATACTCGAATTCAATGGGTACCTGAAAAAAAAATATTTATGATAGTGAGGAAAATTGTTCACTTAATGAATTGATATAAATATTTACCTACAAAATTTTTAATTGATGGGTATATATGTATTTTTCTATTCATCTCATTTCATACCATTGCATCATTTAAAATATTAAATATTAAATTTTAAAAAAACTAATATTGGATTTATAACACTACAACCTTACGGTCACAATTTACAAGATTTGTCTTAGTAAGTTCATATTTTAATCTTAATAAAATTCTAACTCATTATTGTCTTCGAACATTTTTGTCTTTATGGTTAAAATTGTTTTCCAAGTTTGTTTGTGGAGTAACATCCTTAATCAACTCGTTTTACACCATTGCATCATTTAAAATATTGAGCTTAAAATTTAAAAAATTTATAAAAAAAGAAAAAAGAAAAAAGAGAGAGCTAATGTTGGACTTATAACTCGACAACTTTACGGTCATAATTTGCAATAATTCTCTTAATAACTTTATATTTTAATCCCAAAATCGAAATTCTAACTCATTATTGTCTTATAACATTTATGTTTTTATGGATAAAGTTAATTTTCAAGTTAATTTGTCAAGTAACATCCTTAATCATCCATATATCATATATATATATATATATATATATAAATCAATACCTTATTATCAATAATAATATTTAAAAATTATTATTAAATATGGTTTAAATACTTTTATTTATGAATTATGTTTTCTATTATATATATATATATATATATATCCAAATAAAACTGTTTAGATGAGTACGACCTTATACAAAGTCAACTACTTTGAAGATTTTTGAAATGATTATGAACGACATATCTTATCTTCAATACAAGTTTACATAGAAAGATATAAAACACAAGAAAAATTATATTCGATTCTAAATCCTAGCTAATAGAAGTGAAGAGACCTAACTAACTATCTTTGTGGAATTCTTGAATGGATATGAAATGAAATTTTTTTTTTTTTAGCATAGTATTAATGGTATGAAGTATCTACCGTTGAAAGTAGCAATTAATTTTTGCCGAAGATAGTAAACATAAAGTAAATATTTCCTTTTCAATGTAATATATTACATTTTTAAGATTAAGATTCTTAACTCTAAATAACTTGGTTAAGGAATACAAACTATTATTACTTGTGCTAACCAGTGTTGATTTATCAATTAGTGTTGGTGATAACAATTTTATTTTAGACTAAATTGTACTTTTGGTCCCTCTATTTTTATCAATCCAGAATTTTTGTTCCTCTATTTTAAAATAAAAATATTTAGTCCTTCTAGTCTTAAAAATATTAAATTTTAATTTTTCTGTCAAATTGATATTTATTAATTATTAAATTTAATATTTATACATAATTAATATGAAATTTAATAACAATACATTTGCAAATAAAAAAATTAAAAATTATGCATATAAATTTTTTTAATAAAATAAATATTAATATATACCTATTATAAGGGGATATCAGAATATATAAGGAGATATTGAAATATGTAATCACTTTTGGTCTCTACTTTTTAGTGGATCATTATACCCCTCATATGTAAAAAAAAACTTCTTATATTCTCTCTAAATAACTATCCATAATCTTCTAATATTTATCTATATGTAACTATTAGAGGCACAAAGTGTCTCGATCCCACTAGTCACTCATAAAATAGATACAAACAGATAATATTTTTTATGTTATTTTTTAAAATTTTATTCTTACATTTCACACTAAATATCACATTAATTAAGTAGTGATAGATTATCAAAAAATATTAAAATTTAACAATAATATATACCTATTATAAAGGAGATATTGAAATATATAAGGGGATATTGAAATATATAATTGATTTGATTTTTACTTTTTAGTGAACCATTATACCTCTCATATGTAAAAAAATAAAAATTTCTTATATTCTCTCTAAATAACTATCCATAACCTTATAATATTTATCTGTATATAATTATTAGAGACATAAAATATTTCGATCTATCTAGTCACTCATAAAATAGATATAAACAAAGAATATTTTTTATGTTAATTTTTTAAAATTTTATTCTTATATTTCACACTAAATATCACATTAATTAAATAATAATAAATTATTGAAAATGTTAAAGTTTAACGATAAATGAACATAAAATTGATAATAGAATTAAGATTTTGTATTTTTAAAAATTTAGTGGCTAAACATCTCTATTTTAAAATAAAAGATTAAAATTATCCATTCACAAAAATTAGTATTTTACTAAAGTACCGGCAACAAGTCTGCGTTCGAAAGAGGAGTTAACATTGTGATGTAAAAGATTTTATTTTAGGGTGACTTCTCTAAACGACCACTTATACAAGTGGTGTATGGGTGCATCATGAATATTAATCATAAGATGCATCTAATCTAATAGCATATTATACACCTTATCACATAGGATCAAATTTTTTGAATTTTTTACTGAATTTTTTTTTAAATTACCCAAAAAAAGCACGTGTTACGATGCACTGACGCAACTACTATTCAAGTTCAGAACGGACTGTTCTGAAATTAGAACGGGTCGTTCCAGATAAAACAATAACACATGAATAATGGATAAGAACGGGCCGTTCCAGATGAAAAAAAAACACATGACGAATGGATCATAATAGCCCGTTCCGAAATCAAAACGGTCCGTTCCAGATTCAAAAATAACACATGACTAGTTAAATTAGAACGGACCGTTCTGAATTCGGAACGGGCCGTTCTAACTACATATTTGTCATAAGCACTTTTTTTAAGCAAAATAATATATATTTTTTTTATTATACTAAATTACATTTAAAATTTAAGTATAGTTTTTCAATTGATAATGTTTTTCTATTAGAATTAGAGGTTTACATTAATTATATGCTTAAATTTCTAATTCTAATTAGCAAATAACACCAAACAAAAATTTCTATTATAAATATAATTTTCTCTCATTTAAATCATTACAAAAATTTGTTAGTTTTAGTTTTATATCTCAACATTTTCCTCTTAAAAAAATTATGTTACCAAATATTTTTAAATTTGATTTACATTAGTTTAATTGCTTTTAAGGTGCATAGACTTTCGTGGTTTTGTTGCCAATGCCACAAGCATTAGGCGTTGATTAAATGTCACCTAGTGTGAGGAGAGATACTCATTTTCTGTTTGGATTTGCATTGGGTGCTAATGTATGTGGCGTTAAACATAAGTTAGACAAAGGCCCTCTGCCTAATTAGGGTTGGGAGTGAGTTTTGTCATACCAGACACGAGAGAATAGGAGACTCTTTGTCTCAATGACATTAGGTGCGGGTAGTTTGGTGCTAAGCGTGAGTGAGATATGAAGTCCATTCCTCAATGACATCAAGCATCCTATGAATGAAGCTCAAAACTAGGCCTAATAAGCTTAAAACCCAAAAAGTCTTATACTGAGGCCCATAATACAAGACCAAACAATATAAACTCCTATACTACCAAAAATATGAGAAAGGTGGTCATCCATGTAAAGCTCAAGTAAAAGAGAACCCTGGGCCCACCAAACCCATTAGGCTCTCTGAGCTCAGAAGCAGTCAAAAGCCCAAAGGCCCATGAAGTCCAAAACTAGGCCCAATAAGCTTAAAACCCAAAAAGTCTTATACTAAGGTCCATAATACAAGACCAAACAATATAAACTCCTATACTACCAAATATATGACAAAGGTGGCCATCCATGTAAAGTTCAAGTAAAGATAACCCTAGGCCCACCAAACCCATTGGACTCACTAAGCTCAGAAGCAATCAAAAGTCCAAAGGCCCATGAAGCCCAAAACTAGACTCAATAAGCTTAAAACCCAAAAGGTCTTATACTAAGACCCATAATACAAGACCAAACAATATAAAACTCCTATACTACCAAATATATGACAAAGGTGGCCATCCATGTAAAGTTCAAGTAAAGATAACCCTAGGCCCACCAAACCTATTGGGCTCACTAAACTCAACACCAAACAAAATTTTCTACTATAAACTAATGTAAATCAAATTTAAAAATATTTGGTAACATCATTTTTTTAAGAGGAAAATGTCGAGATATAAAACTAAAACTAAAATTTTTTTGCAATGATTTAAATGAGAGAAAATTATATTTATAATAGAAAATTTTGTTTGGTGTTATTTTCTAATTAGAATTAGAAATTTACGCATATAATTAATGTAAACCTCTAATTCTAATAGAAAAACATTATCAATTGAAAAACTATACTTAAATTTTAAATGCAATTTAGTAGAATGAAAAAAAAAATTATTCTGCTTAAAAAAAGTTCTTATGACAAATATGTAGTTAGAACGGCCCGTTCCGAATTCAGAACGGTCCGTTCTGGTTTAACTAGTCATGTGTTATTTTTGAATCTGGAACGGGCCGTTCTGATTTCGAAACGGGCCGTTCTGATCCATTTGTCATGTATTTTTTTTCATCTGGAACGGCCCGTTCTGATCCATTATTCATGTGTTATTGTTTCATCTGGGACGGCCCGTTCTGATTTCAGAACGGTCCGTTCCGAACGTGAATAACAGTTGCGTCAATGCATCGTAACACGTGTTTTTCTTGGATAATTAAAAAAAAAATAATTTCAATAAAAAATTCAAAAATTTTGATCTTGTGTGATAAGGTGTATAATATACTATTAGATTAGATGTATCTTATGGTTAAAATTCATGGTGTACCATACACATCACTTGTAAAAGTGGTCTATAAGAGACATCACCTTATTTTAGAACTAAGTTTTTACAAATTTTTGATTTTGCATTGTCGGACGTTCTATAGGACGAAACTTTGTCACGGTCTAATGAAAATCACGTGTTTTTCATGATCAATCGTTTTTG